CTTTAAGTCCAGAACAACAACTCAAGCTAGCAGACAAATTGCACAGTAAGGAATGACCCACATCTGCTTTCGAAAAGAGAGCTCTGAAAGGGGGAAGAGCAAGAGAGCAGTGACATGACAACTTTCAGGTGGTTTTTAAACTAATATTTCAAAATTATTAAAGGTAATTACATGGGTAAAATTGAAACTACATAATAAAATCTATAATTGTGTTCAAATTTCACTAAAAATGTTGATTAGAATAAGAAATACAGCATTTGGAACTATCACTTATATTGCTTGTATCCACTCTAAATTGGAATATAACAACAACAACAACAACAACAACAACAACAATATTTATTTCTACCCTGCCACCATCTTCCCAAGGGGGTTCGGGTCGGCTAACATGAGGCCAAGCCCAGGAAATATTTATTTATTTATTTATTTACTTATTTATTTACTTCACTTGTATACCGCCATTCTCAGCCCTAACGTGACTCATGGCGGTTTACAACAATCAAGCCAAAACAAGGTGAACAATCAAGGCAAAAATTCAATGCGGTATCAACAGGTACTTAAAAACAATTAACACAAAAGCATGTTAAGCAATTAACAATCATAGAAGTCGGTCAATTGGCGTCTCATAACTAGAATCATGATCCAAACTCGTCAGTCGTAGTTCCATTTCCTGAAATTCATTGCACTTTTTATTCAAAYGCCTGTTCRAATAACCAAGTMTTCACTCTTYTCYGGAATACCATCAATGAGGGGGCCAATCTGATGTCCGTGGGAAGGGCGTTCCACAGMCGAGGGGCCACCACMGAGAAGGCCCTGTCTCTCGTCCCCGCCAGCYRCGCCTGTGATGCAGGCGGGATCGAGAGCAGGGCCTCCCCGGAAGATCTCAAAGTCCTGGTGGGTTCATAGGTGGAGATGCGGTCGGATAGGTAACTTGGGCCAGAACCATTTAGGGCTTTATAGGCCAATGCCAGCACCTTGAATTGAGCCCGGTAGCAAATCGGCAGCCAGTGGAAATACAGTAATGTAAAGTAAAATACAAACAAGCAAATAATAGCATCAAAGTTAAATGCAAACAATAACAAAATATACAATAAACAAATGCAAAATAAAATGCTTGAGGAATTAAAACACAGTGGGCGGACCAAATGGAAAGGGTAAAGTTATAAAACCTTGGGTGAGATGGATAAATAAATAAATAGAGTAATGTATCTGAGGGGAGATTCAGAAAGGGCAAACTATGAGGTTAATGTTCACTAAGGGGTGAGATAAAGTGCATCAATAGGACAGATTTACACTGGGATGGACATGGTTTGGGGATTTGTTGTTCATTCGTCAAAGGCACACTGGAAGAGCCAGGTCTTTAGGCCAGGTCTTTAGGCCTTTCTTAAAGGCTGTCAGGGTAGGAGCTTGCCTAATTTCACTGGGTAGTGAGCTCTAAAGCTGAGGGCCCACCACAGAAAAGGCCCTCTCTCTTGTCCCCACAAGTCGAGCTTGTGATAGAGGTGGGAGCGAGAGGAGGGCCTCCCTGGAGGATCGAAGAGATCGTGCAAGTTTATAGAAGGAAATGCAGTCAGGTGGGTCTCAAATCAAATATCTAAAAATCAAGATCAGTGATCTATACATACGAGGGTTGAACGAAAATAATGCCTCCACCTTCGTAACTCCTCAACAGATGGCAGTACTAGTATGTGGCAGACACTGGCTTGTTCAGTAGACTCTCCTCTACAGTTCCATTTTGGCGGGAAGCCTTAGCATTGAACAGTAGTGTTATTAAAGTGCGAAGTATGGAACCCTGCACAGAGTCAATGAGACTTAAGCAACATGCAGGCGAGTTTCAGGCGTCAGCATCCTGGGTACCCATTGTGCACAGATCTTCCGATAGCCAAGCAAACCAATAATGTGACCCACATGTTCTTGTGAAATGTTGATTATGCTTGAAATTTCTCTCTGAGTGATACTTTGTCCTGATTTGTTACTCATTTGAATCTCCCTCCACTGAAACTTCAGCCAAAATCCCCTCATTGTTCCTATATCCTAGCACCAAGAAAATCCGGATCTGGCAGGCTTGCCAGACATCAACGTTTATTACAGCCAATCAAAGACAATAGAAATGGCTGGCTCGCAGGTCCCTTGGACATTTCCTATCTCCATAATCCTCTCAAGAATCCATTGTTTCCCTCTCGTCCCATCTTTCTCTCTCCTGATTTGTCAGTGAGCCAAGGCGACCGAAGCTCAGCCATTGGCCCAGGCACTTTGGAGGCGGCCAGGCCTCCTTCCAGCTGTAGCACGCCAGCCAACCATCATCGAGCCAGCAGAGGGGCGGGGAGCAGGAAATTCAAATCTAACAGCTCTGTTTCTGTATAAATAAGGCTTTTATTTGTGTGCATGTTATGCTTTGCTTGGCGAATTATTGCAGCTTTGCATCCTTTCCAGCTGGATCGCAATAAAATCAACTCAGTGGCGCTTCCTTCAACTTTGGTAAGACTCTTTTGGGAACTTAGGGAAATCTTTTAATTTGCGACTTCTCTTTGCTCACCATTGTAGTGAGCCCTCTTTGGTGGCAAGACCCTTTGAAATTCCTCCTCGATTTCACTGACATGAGGCTTGCAATAAAATGTACACCTCAGTATGTGATGACAAAGTTAATGAGTGGAATTGCCTGTGCCTTTCCACTCCAATTTCAGGGGTACATTTTAAACCCTAATCTCCCCCCCCCCCCAAC